CTGATTACAACCAAAGTTAGGCAACCAAAATGATTTTTCTTACCTGAATTAATCTCAACTTTTATCGGAGCGTTAAGAATAATACCTCCATTAGGAATTTTAAAGTAATCTGTAAGCAGTTCAATAACTGATGTATGCTCTGGTCCCTCCATTTCGACTATAAATACGTTTCCCTCTGAATCAACATCAAATTTATATCCAGGTATTTCGTAACGTTCAAAGAAAACATCAATGGTTTCCACTGACAAATTCCAGCCTATCTGTAAAGGCAAACTATATACGAGTCAATGCTGTATGAAACTTAATCCATCCGCGTGATATACACTTACTGCTTCTCTTTTAGACCCTTTTTTTCTACACTCCTAAAATTCCTTTCTAGGGATAGAAATTGACTAATCATTTTTGAAAACTTTGAAAAGAAAGATATGTTTTTAATTAACCAGATGATTAATCGTTTTTTATTTAATCAGATCAATGTTATACAATCACAAGGTACGCAATGATGCAATGTCAGCACTGATAAATTAAAAATGCAATAATAATCTTTTGATTTTCCCAAGGAAAAGATATAATTGAACAGTACCAATTATGGAATAAGACCCATACTTCGATAAGTACTATCCAATTTCATCAGAGTTCTTTTTTTAGCTGATCACGTGCAAACCGCTTTTTGAATACCTCTTGATCTTTGTGGAAGAAAGCGTTCATATTGTATACCTTGAACTTCGATAGCAAAACCATATTGTGGATAGTATATATCAAGTTCAAGTCCTAATGGATGATCAGGTGTTTTTAAGAAATCTGGTCTACGAATATCAGGTGAACCTAATAATTTTGTAACTACATTTTTACAAAGTTCTTCTCGTTTCCATGGACAAAAGGGGCATCATGTATCAGAATTTTTTACTTTATCCAGATTTGCATACCAAAGATGATTTTTAGCACATTGCCATAAAAGAGGTGTAATCGAATTAATATATTTTCAGAAATACAATCACCACCTTTTTCTATTTGCAACTTTTTTAGCTAATTCAAGATTACAAGAATAACGACCCGAACAATATGGGCACCATGTATTAAGATTTGTATACCACTGATGACCTTTGTTACATTCCCATAAAAGTTTAGAATATAATTTTCAGATAAACATTTTTCTTCTTTACGATGTGCAATTTCTTTAGCAATATCAATATTAAGTTTTGCATTACCTAAACAGTGAGGGCACCATGTATTTTGATTTTTTATTGCATCTAAAGATGCAAACCAAATATGTTTTTGATGATTATTAATATATTTATCTGATAAACATTCGCCATTTTAGATTGAGCTATATTTTTAGTAATCTAAAAAATAAGTTTTTTTCCACATTTAGAACACCAAGAATTTTGATTTTTTATTCTTATTAAAGGAGCTTGCCATATGTGATTTTTTACACATTGCCATAATAGTGGTGTATAACTATTTTTATATTCTTCGGAAAGACAAGTGCCACCTTTTTTAAGAGCGATTTCTTTAGCAATATCAATATTAAGTCTAGAACATTCTACACATCGAGGACACCAAGTGCCTTTCTTTATATCACATAAACTAGCATTCCATTCATGATATTTAGCACATTTCCAACGTAAAGGGGTTTTATTATTAATATAAGTTTCAGAAAGGCATTTCCCATTTTTTTCTAAAGCAATATTACAAGCATCAGTTAATAACAATTTACGACCCATTTTAGAGATAGTTATACATTATCTATTACTATATTTAAATCTAATTATTATCAAGTATCCATTTTGAGGGATATTCTATATTTCTATCTATTAATAATAATTGTTCTCTCACAAATGATCTTTCAGATCCATCACCATTTTCATCCATAAGCCAATATAACACAGATTGATTTTTTTGAATTAATACCTTCCAGGTGGACCTATATGTTCCACTACGTTTCACATTATATCTTTCAGGTGGGTCTATAAATATTGAAAAAAGTTAATTAAAATTACATCAGTTTTTTGTCCTAAAAATTTATCTATTTTTTTTAATAATAAAAAACTTAAAGAATGTTACTGTTCCGTTTTACTTCGCAGTAATAAAAAAGTTAATTATTAACTAAATAGAAAATTATGCTCTACCTGTTTCGCATTCACCTAAAGATTCATGCTCACAATGATAGAAAGCTATTTGCAAATTAAACAGATAATTAATGTTTCACTACACTCCACATCTGGAGTCGTTATGCTTTTCCAAAGCAGAAAGCTATTTAATAATCAAATCAGATAACTTATATTTTTGATTAAATTGGTATATTGTTAAAAAAATTGAATTATGCATTGTTTCAGAATTATTGCCTATGATGATATTTCTGAAAGATAATGAGTAACTGTGTTCAATTGAAAGATCAGATTACTAAATTATCAAAACTTATAATTTAATATCAAATAATAAAATAATAGGATTGGATATAACTTTAACAAGAAATTTAATGAAAATAAATATAATAGCTATCAAAGCTTTCCTGAAGTACTAGTCAATAATAGCTATATAAAAATACAAATATGAATATAAAAATAAAAATTATTTAAATATAAATATTATCTCTCTTAGATTAGTAATGCAAAAATCAAAATAATATAATACTTTCCTGACATGTCTCAAATCTCAATAACAATAATACAAATAATAAATGAATAAATAATACCAATAATAAATAAATAATGTGAAACTCTTTCTTATAGATCTTTGGATTACACATACAATAAGAGAAAAAATTTAACCAAAATTCAAATAACTCTAGATATTATTAAAAATAAAAATAATAATAGTAGTAAAGAAGTATTAGTCTATATATGTTTTTATATTTTTATATTTGGTAATTCTGATATTAATATAGTATCTTATTAATACAATCATCCAATTAATTACTAATTAACTATTAATAATTTATCTGATTAATTATCATAAAGTAATATTGATTGTATAAATTATATAATTAAGTTTAGATTAAGGTTGCTTGCCGAAATCTCTTAGTGACTGTCTAAATTCTGTCGAAATTATAATAAACTATTAGTAAATAACCTGTCGAAATTCTGACGAATTTTGAAACCCGTCGTAACCGAAATTATGTCAAAATTCTAATTAACAATTAGTGTGTAACCTGTCAAAATTATGACGATATTTTTCTGAAAGAATTTAGGCAAGCATCCTTAGTTTAGATATTTGATAAAATAAAATAAAATAATATTGAAGTAAGAATAGTATCAAAAGAAATATCAGATAATAAACTTAATATTATCAAATATCAAAGTATAATTTCTTAATATATAATATTATTAAGTATTAACATAATTAAATTTTTTGCTCTATTATATTATATGTAATAAAGTGAAAGAGTTAATCAAATAATTATCACGTAAAATTAGCCAATTAAAGAAAATTTCCTGTACTAAAAATCTTATTATTTCTATTAAAAGTACTTTCCAAAAAAATTAACTACTTAATAAATTATTAAATATTATAAAAAAAAATATATATAATTATAAATGTTATTTAGCAATGTATTTTTTTGTAATCACATATTTAGATACAAAGTTTTTGCAATTCAAGATAATAGATGTTTATAGACTTTCTGCATTATATGCAATATAGAAGTTTTACTAATTTATAAAAAAGTATTAATATGTATTCAGAAAATTTTGGTACATTATACATGATCTACAAAAAGTTATGGGAGATATGTTACTTCTGACGAGCACTATATGTAAATTGCCTTCTTGATATTTATTATTAGAGCTCCAAGTTAGATTTAGATATTTCACATTTTTTATTTTTTTTGTGTCGGATTTGTTTTGCCGAGCTGATCAAAAATTTGCGCATCCTTATTGGTTTGTCATGTGCATGTGATCAGGATTCTACTTTTGCCAGCCGGCAGAACAAATCCGACACAAGAAAACGAAAAACTTGGAGCTCAAATCAAAATGTCAGGGAGGCAATTTTACATATAACTTTAATCTGAGCTCTAATATTAAAATCGATCTTTATTTGTAACATCGTCTATTATTGTCGCAGAAATATTTTCATCCGATTCGAATATTTCACATTTACATATAGCGATAATTTTTGTCTTGTAAAATCATCGAAATTTCAAGTATGCGCTATGGTGCATAACATCTAAAGTCATCAAACGTTTGTATTTTACAAAATGTATAAACTTCTTTACAAAGAAGTAAATGCAAAATTTAATCCGTGAATATGATAGAATAAGCCCTTTCGGAGCATATTCACGGATTAAATTTTGTATTTACTTCTTAGTAAGATGTTTATAAATTTTATAAAACACAAACGTTTGATGACTTTAGATGTTATGCACCATATATACCATAATATCGTTCGGAGTTCTACTCAAAGGCTAATGGAAATTTGTATCAACAATTTTAATGCAAAATTAAAAATTGTATGTACAATCGAACCTCGATACTAGTGAAATTCGTTAAACTCGAAAATATTTGTCAAAATTAAGAATGAGGATAAGAGCATTTTAATAAGAGAATAGCTTCGTGTGTATATTTTTCACTGCTTTAACTTTTCAAAGCGCATAAACCAGCGAATTTTTTTTAACTAAAGAAAAATTTCGGTTTAGTGCACTTTCGGCTTTTAACGAAGCATTATTTCACTTGCTTTCTCCGAAAATTAAAATCATTTAGAAGTAGTTGTTCTTTATTGGCATGTCTTGTGAGATTAGATTAAACACAATTAAATTCTCGATAAAATTTATTCATTATTATTCCAAGTTTTCGACGAGATGTACGTTTACATCTACCATTCCGGCTAGAAACAAGTCGACCATTTAATTATGCCGGCCTGATGTTTGCTTATAGAGTCGGCTTGAACGTGTCAATTTTTGTATGGTCAATTTGGAAAAACCAATTATTAACGCATTAGCAACGAATTATTTTAATCGTTCCTTTTTCCCGAATATATATAATAAATTTTGACTGTTAGGCACAATGGTACTTGGTCTAGATGCGCAAAACCAAGCAGCGTTGTTGAAGGTGGTTATTCTCGGTCTCATCGCCGCCGTAGCCATAGGAAGTCGTCTATTTAGTATCGTACGCTATGAAAGTGTAATTCACGAGTTTGACCCTTGGTTTAATTATCGGACCACGCGACACCTGGTCTCTAACGGGTTTTACGACTTTTGGAATTGGTTCGATGAGAGGTCATGGTACCCGTTGGGTCGGGTGGTTGGAGGAACTGTATATCCTGGAATAATGGTCACGTCAGCTGTCATACATAACATATTGCATGCACTAAATTTTCCAGTAGACATCAGAAATATATGTGTGCTATTAGCGCCATTATTTTCCGCGTTCACCGCTGTTGCCGCTTACTTGTTAACAGTGGAAATTAAAGATTCTTCTGCTGGATTATTGGCGGCTGCTTTTATCGGCGTTGCACCTGGCTATATTTCTCGATCAGTTGCAGGATCTTATGATAATGAAGGGATTGCAATCTTTCTGTTAGTTTTTACTTTTTATTTGTGGATTAAAGCATTGAAGCTTGGATCTGCTTTTTGGGGTGCATGGACCGCATTATTTTATTTTTATATGGTTGCTGCTTGGGGTAAGAATCATTTCTTTTAACTTTGCATTTCGATCTATATATTGATTAATTATGTAATATATAATATATTATTATTAGGTGGTTATGTTTTTATCATTAACTTAATACCTCTTCACGCGTTTGCTTTAATATTAATGGGGCGATTTTCGAGTCGCCTTTACGTTGCATATTCATCATTTTATGTGCTTGGGACGCTTATGTCTATGCAAGTACCATTTGTTGGTTTCATGCCTACGCGTACAAGTGAACATATGGCCGCATTGGGTAAGTAATAATATTTATTTATTTTTTGAAGATTTTTTTATGATATACAACAATTCATTAATCACTAGGTAATTAAAATAGGGATATTTGGTTTATTGCAAATTTTTGCCTTTGTGGAACTTGTTAGAACTCATTTGTCGACAACTCAATTCCAAATTCTTTTCAGAGGTTTTATTTTCGTGTCTTTTATTGCAATGTTCTCGGCATTGGTTTTTTTGACTTATTCTGGATATATTGCTCCTTGGACCGGTCGTTTTTATTCATTATGGGATACTGGATACGCCAAGAAGTACATTCCAATTATCGCATCAGTTTCTGAGCATCAACCGACTGCTTGGCCTTCTTTTTTCTTTGATCTCGAAATGTTGATATTTTTATTCCCCGCTGGAACTTATTTATGTTTCCGAGAACTTCGTGATGAACATGTTTTCGTAATCCTGTATGGAATTACAGCATCATATTTTGCTGGAGTAATGGTTCGACTTATGTTAACATTAACGCCAATAGTCTGTGTGACATCTGCAGTTGCACTCTCTTGGCTGCTAGATACATATCTTGATGTGTCGACACTTGAATTCCTTCCTGAAGAACAAGAACGATCACAAAATTCTTCATTTGACAATAAAGTTCCTGAAAAGTCCGGTAAAAGAGAAAAACACAGTCCCGACAAGACAAAAAAAGGATCCCAAAATTCAAGCAGAATACCTGATAAAAAGAAAAAGAAAGAATATTATGGAATACTGGGAATTGATACTCGAATGATAATTGGAATGAATTTCATATTCTTTCTATGGATATTCATGTGGCATTGTACATGGGTCACCTCGACAGCTTATTCTTCGCCGTCCATCGTTCTTGCATCTCGTGGAGCTGATGGATCAAATTATATTATTGATGATTTTCGAGAAGCTTACTATTGGCTTAGAAAAAACACTGATTATTCGGCAAAGATTTTATCCTGGTGGGATTATGGATATCAAATCGCAGGAATGGCAGACCGAACAGTGTTAGTGGACAACAACACGTGGAATAATACTCACATCGCTACCGTTGGCAGAGCTCTAGCATCTGATGAAAATGTCGCATATGAAATATTACGTCGACATGATGTTGATTATGTGCTGATTATATTTGGTGGTTTGTTGGGATATTCAGGTGATGATATTAATAAATTTCTTTGGATGATTCGGATAGCAGAAGGAGTTTATCCGGATGAAGTGAAGGAGAAGAATTTCTTTAATGATCGTGGGGAGTATCGAGTTGGCGACGAAGCTACACCAACTATGCGAAATAGTATCATGTATAAAATGAGTTATTACAATTATAATGAACTTTTTGGTGGCCAAGCTACAGATCGGGTACGTGGCACAAGATTATCCCCGGGAAAAATTAAGATGCATACATTAGAAGAAGCTTATACAACAGAGAATTGGATTGTAAGAATTTTTAAAGTTAAAGATCTAGATAACATTGGACGTACTTTAGAACAAGCAGCAGGTTTTGAATTGGGGAAAAAGAGGCGTCGTGGCGCTAAAAAGCGAGTAGGTGGTCGAAGAAATAAGAGTTCATGAGACATTTAAACAATTGAACAAAAGTATTTTTTAATCATAATAATATTAATATTTATCGTGATATATTTATTAGATTTAAATTAGACCACTTCTAAAAGTAGACTGCATTTTATTGTGTTATAAATTGGCAGATCAAAATTGTCATTATTACTCGAAATGACTAATGTAATAAAGGAATTAATAAACTCGTGCCCCGATTTTTTATAAAATTAATTTCACAACGTATTTTCATTAGCGTTAGGAATCAACTATATTAATTACGAATTCAACAACAAAATGTCGAATTCGCAACAATTTCAATGCCGGATGTACGAGGAAAAGTACCCTGAGGTGGACGATCTGGTGATGGTTAACGTGCGCCAAATCGCTGAAATGGGTGCTTATGTTAAATTGGTACTTGGTTTTGGCAAATTTAATCAATTTGACTAGAATACCTGAAGCTTTTTGATCCATAATTTCATAATTAATTTGCATCATTCTTAGTTGGAATATGATAATATTGAGGGAATGATATTGTTATCCGAATTATCACGACGACGTATTCGTAGTATACAAAAGTTAATAAGAGTGGGTAGGAACGAAGTAGTAGTTGTGTTGAGAGTTGACAAAGAGAAGGGTATGTATTTATTCTATGTATTCTTCTTTATAATCACTTAAATATTAAATCCTATATGATCGATCTCCTTTACTTGTGTGTAGGTTATATTGATCTTTCGAAACGTCGAGTTTCACCAGAAGATGTGGCAAAAGCTGAAGAGAAATTCAACAAATCTAAAGCAGTATGTTACAATTTTTGTGAACATGAATATAATTTCATCATTGTTGAAACTTAATTAATTATTTCAATATTACAATAGGTACATAGTATAATGCGTCATGTCGCGGAAAAACGAGAGGTTGTTCTTGAGGATTTATATAAAGTGATTGCATGGCCATTATATAAAAAATACGGACACGCATACGAAGCCTTTAAATTGGCAATTACGTAAGTGGACCAATGCGTATTTCATCAATTCATAATTGGTATTTTGATTTAGATATTTTAACCACGGCTCTCTGGTGCTTTTGTTATAAGTGACCCAGAATTAGTTTTTGAGGGTCTAGAAATCAAACCGGAGACTATGTCCGAATTGTTAAACAACATTAGACGACGATTAACGCCGCAACCCATTAAAATACGAGCTGGTAAAATCAAATAAATGTTTTATTGTTAGTATTCATTGATTATATATGTTTTCTTTTAGGTTTATAATTAATCGAAAATTTTCCTTTCTTTAGATATTGAAGTTACCTGTTTTGGGTACGAGGGCATAGATGCTATTAAAACAGCTTTAAAAGCTGGAGAAGCCTGTGAAACAAAAGATATTCAAATAAAGGTATTAAAAATTGATATAACATCTACGGAATCAACAATTTTTTTCTAATCTGCATATTGTTATTTTAATAGGTAAAATTAGTGGCACCCCCGTTATATGTTATGCTCACCAACGCCCTTGACAAGAATTTAGGCATTGAAACACTGGAAAAGGCTGTCAATACAATTCAAGAGGCCATCCTAAAGTCTGGTGGTAACTTGACGGTCAAAATGAAGGTATGTTATGGAATGAATGAATGATTTATGAAATTCTATCAATAACCGTTGTTTGTTAATAACTTTTTTATATAAATCAGCCCAAAGCTGTTAGTGAAACAGATGATCTTGAATTGGCGGCGTTGATGGCCCGTGTTGAGAGAGAAAATGCCGAAGTTTCTGGCGATGAGGATACAGGATCGGAAGTTGGTGATACGGAATAAATTAATACTAAAAAAAAAAAGGTGAAAATTACTCGCCTATTCAAAAATACAACAATGCAACTGTTTACGTGAATCAATATGATGCGTATAATAGTAGCATTTTTTTTATTAGTCATATTTAAACGTGTGTGAAATAGATTGTTTTTAAACAATTATCAATCAAATGCATATGTATTTGAATAATTTATAACATTTATATATGTATAATCCATTTAAAAGGATGTACATTAAAGTGTTTGTGTGTGCAATTTATAGTAATATTCCTCGGCTTTATCGATGCATGTAACACTCGATTTCAATTTGTCAATTGTTTCCTGAAATTCATTCTCTTCTACACTATCATAGACTATTCCACCACCTAGTCATGGATAATATATTAATTATCAATTATTATAAAGTTGTTTTACGTGTATGTATATCATGAAGTTTTACCTGCTTGAAGATAAGCAATTCCATCTTTAAAAACCATTGTGCGAATTGCAATGCACGTGTCAATTGAATTTGCAAAATCGAAATGGCCAACAGCGCCTGCATAAATACCACGTTTTTCCTGCTCCAGTTCAGCAATAAGCTCCAATGCTCGAACTTTTGGTGCACCAGAAACTGTACCAGCTGGAAAAATAGAGCGAAACGCGTCGAATCTTATTTTTGTATATATATAAATTTAGTATGTGAAAAAAAACTTGACAAATTATCTGAACATAGATTATAAATACAAAAATATATACCTTGTTTTGCCTTCTCGAAGTTTACCGGAAACCTGGCTAACAATATGCATAACATGACTATATTTTTCAATGTGCATGAGAGAATCAACTTTAACAGTCTCAGGTCGGCAAACTCGATTTACGTCATTTCGTCCAAGATCAACAAGCATAATATGTTCAGCTCGTTCCTTTGGATCATTAAGCAACTCCTCGGCAAGCCTCTGATCATCTATCATCCACAGAATTTCAATATTAAATTTTCAGCTTAGACGCAAAGCGATAAGGTAATTAATTAATTACCTTGTTCTGTTTTACCGCGTATACGTGTACCTGCGATTGGGTGATTAGTCACAGTTCCATCTTCATCGACTTTGACAAGGAGTTCAGGTGATGCTCCAACAATTTTGAAGTCATTTAAATTGACATAAAACATATAAGGGGAAGGATTGACCGTGCGCAAATGACGATATATATTGAACGGGTGCAATGTCGTGGGTCGAGCAAGTCTTTGTGAAGGAACAGCTTGAATTATATCACCTTTCTTGATATGATGTTTTAACTTTGTTACGAATGCTTCATAACCTTTTTTACCAACATTAGAGACAGAATTTTGATTAAGTCGAATTTCATCCTGCGGAATTTTTGGTGTTGTTTCTGAATTAAGTAAAGTCAAAACCGCGTCAATTTTTGCTATAGTTTTTCTATATTCCCTTTCAATGTCTTTGGGATTCGTCGAATCACTCCGGTAATGGGAAACAACATTTAAAATTTGATAAAGATGATCGAAAATAACAATAGTGTCGCAAAATAGGAAAACTGAATCTGGCAGACCAATAGGATCTAGTAATTCGCGTGCAGTACGAGATTCAAAATACTTTACACAATCATACGCAACGTATCCAATAGCACCACCTTTAAATTAAAAAATGTTCACTTTTAATTTTGAACGATTAATCATCATATCTGATTTACGAGCATTTTAATTACCAGTGAATGCGGGAAGCCCTGGCACGGAAACAAACTTAATCGACTTCAATTCCTCCTCCAAAGCTATTAATGGATCTCCCTGTACTTCTTCGTTATCTCCAGTTTTCAGAATTTTGTATGGTTCTTATTTCGTTTAATAAAATATTCAATTGTCTTGACACAAGAACAATATTTCAGCGAAGACATAACATTAAATTATTCACGCATCCTATTTTTTGATATATACCAGCTCCAAGAAACGAGTATCGTCCAATCTTTTCACCACCTGCTACTGACTCTAATAGGAAAGAATATTCGCTATTTTGTGATATGCGCAAGTATGCGCTTACTGGTGTAAGTAAGTCTGCGGGAATTTGTGCATAAACTGGGATAGTATTTCCCTTTTTAGCGGCTACTATATCTTGAATTTCTCGAAGCGAAGGTTTCAAATAAAGCTAATAAATAAGATTTGCGATGAAAACATTAGTTAAGTAGTAGACATAGTGAGTATATTGATGCTCGATTTACCGTCATTATGCCAAAACCAAAAAAAATATTTTATAAATGAATTGCACAACCTACACAATCGGCTATCAATTGCATTTTAATGACATCAGCAGCTTGCATTAAAGTTAGTGTCACTTCGGGCGATGAGGCCATCATTATCCTCGATTTCAATACCTATCACGCCCGGAAAAGACCCAAGAACGCCACGACATTTTGTTAACGACTTCCCATCCATCCACAGGAATACATCCATTTATCATAACGCCCGGCACATCCTGGTCGCGCAATTACACACGAATAACCGTTCTATTTAATTCTCCAAACTTGTTTTATTATAATTATCACTCTCCCTTTTTCTTTTAACTGGTAACACACTATAACGACTAAAATGGCAATGGCCGAAGTGGATAATGGTTGGAAATTCGCCCAATGCTTTGGTGACAAAGGTGAAGTCGAAGACATTACAGAAGGTAATATTCCTCGAAACCTTCGAGAACTAGGGTAAAAGAGCGATCAAGATCTTTTGTCTGTTGATGAAACAGGCAGACGGTCAAGGTGGTACCAGGAATTTATATCACTCTCCTGTTTAGCCCCCCAAGCTCATCTTGGCTAGTATCAGGAGCTTTATAGGGCTGGCAACTAGGTTATTATGCACCGATTAAAAGTTTCACTTTGTGAGAAGATTCGGTGCTTTTGCCTGGGCAGACAGCACGGCAAAGGCTTGTTCTTGGCCAATATCGTGTTCCAGTGCCAGATAGTGAATCATTTGATATCGCTTTTCATTTTTGTCCCAGTGATCCTATAGGTCTGATATCTATATTTCCCATACGCAGCTGACATTATTTCAACGGTGGAATTTGACCATACTGGTGATTACCTAGCTACTGGTGACAAGGGAGGCAGAGTTGTATTATTTGAACGTAATGATGGGGTAAATTTCATAATTATAACAATGACTTGCTTTCATAGATTTTCGCTATAACAAATTACTTATTTTATCTTTTATGGAATAAGAAAAAAGGCTGCGAATACAAATTCTATACGGAATTTCAATCACATGAGCCTGAATTTGATTATCTAAAGAGTTTGGAAATTGAAGAGAAAATTAATAAAATCAAATGGTGTAAGCGACAGAATGCAGCACATTTCTTGTTATCAACCAATGGTAAATTATCGAAGTAATTTGCAGATGACATAAAAATTTATAATATACTTACTAATATTTTATAAATAATCCTCAAGACAAGACTATCAAACTTTGGAAAGTATTTGAGAAATCCTTAAAAGTAGTGGCAGAAAATAATCTGAGTGATGGTTTGCGACCTTCAAATGGCCAACTTTCGAATTTAAAATTGCCAAAGCTTACTCACCATGACACCATCATTGCCGCAGTCCCACGGAAAGTGTATGCTAATGCTCATGCATACCATATCAATTCTATATCCATTAATTCTGATGGAGAGACTTATATATCTGCTGACGATTTAAGAATTAATTTATGGAATTTGAATATCAGCGACCAGAGTTTTAGTATGCATTTTTTTATTTACTTTATTCTTTTATTTATGATTGCTTATGCGCATTGATCACGAAATTAATAAAATGCATATATAAATTCTCTCATGGGTTTAAACATATAGATATCGTTGATATTAAGCCAGTAAATATGGAAGAACTGACAGAAGTAATTACAGCCGCGGAATTTCACCCGGTTCACTGTAATCTTTTCATGTATAGCAGCAGTAAAGGGACGATAAAATTAAGTGATATGCGAGCAGCAGCTCTTTGTGATCAACACGCAAAGCGTATGTGGGAATTTTTGATTTATTTTTAACAAAGTTTATGGATTTTCTAGATAATAATTTTTCGATCAATATTTTTATTAGTGTTTGAAGAACAAGAGGATCCAGCCAATAAGTCCTTCTTTTCCGAAATTATTTCATCTATTTCTGATGTAAAATTCAGTAAGGATGGACGATATATACTCTCACGAGATTATTTAACACTTAAAATTTGGGATATCGCAATGGAAAATCGACCTCTGAAAACAATTAATATACACGATCATTTAAGAAATAAATTGTGTGATCTTTATGAGAACGATTGCATTTTTGACAAGTTCGAATGTACTTTCAGTGGAGATGGCCAGTGAGTGATCGTCTAATTAAATAGAAATAACACACATGCATACTAAATAAATGTATTAATATATAGAAATGTCTTAACGGGGTCATACAACAATTATTTCCACATCTATGATCGTGATGGACTTACTGACATTGCCCTACAAGCTGATAAGAGCGCATTCAAGGCTAAACGAGTAGGATCAACAAAGAATAAGATGCTTTCCCGTAAAAGTATGAAGAAGGAGGAGATTAATGTAGATGCAATTGATTTCAATAAGAAGATCCTTCATGCATCGTGGCATCCAAATGAGAATTCAATTGCGGTTGCCGCGACCAATAATCTTTTCATATTTACGTGCGTATAAATCTTCACTTTTCTTTTTAATTCACTATAATTTTTGACATGCTTTTTTATATTATTATTGATAACAATTCGAAAAAACAAAATATTATTTTCTGGGGCTGTATTATAATAGCGAGTAAGTCATTGGTTTAACCTTGGTTTGGTTGGGGGAAGAAGAACAAAAAACTTTGAATTTCTTAATACTTTTTTCTTTTCAATTAGACTATAAGTATAGATAGACGTTTTACCTGTTATAATACATCATACTGTAAATTCTTCGTCATGGCGGTCTGCAAAAATGATTTTTGGTTGGAATTCCTACAGAAACACTCTGTGTGCATTTTAAATTATGTACACTAAAGTTTGATTACCTCATATTACTTCTTTCTTTATTACTACTAATATTTTAAAGAAACTTCGTTTGCAACAAAGCATCGAATATTATTTATTTATTTTTATTATTACAACTGCTCATATATATTCATATATACACTTATTCAATGATTGTTATTGAAAGACGACTAAATATATCTTGAACTACATTAATTATTTTAATTATTTATCAGCCGTCAATTAAATTGCGGTTGTGCCTTTTTTTGTAAGTAGATTAATTCCCTTTGATTTTTGTTGTTTTGATTATTTGTTTGTAAATTGAATAAAATCAACTAAAAAAATGCACTATTCACATGCACAACTTTTTCCTTAATGGATAACAGATATTAGGAAAACCTCAAAATCCGAAAAATCAATTTCTTTTTGTTAAAATTACACCATTTAACATTAATCACGTGTATATATTAATTCCGGCCCGTATTATTAATTGTAATCAAATTTTTATAATTAAATGATGTATTATTGCATGTTCTTATGATTTTCAATATTGTGTGATATAACTTATCTCTTATATCTTATTTAACACTTCATATCACAATACTATTATTGGATAATTATTATACATATTTTATTGGACACTATATAAAGAATATTATTCGTTAATATTAAATAGAACAAAACATAGAAAAAGTTACGGGTCACGTGTTACCAATAAGAATGCGTGAATTTTTGACACAAACCAATAAAAACGCATAAATTTTTGATCAGCCCGGCAAAACAAATCCGACACAAGAAAATGAAAAAGCAAAAAATGTAAAAAATACGGGAAACAGATGCCTAAATCTAGTTTGGTAGACTAACAAAAAATGTCGGGAAGACAATTTTATGTATAACTTTGATCACAGATCTAACCTTAACCCTAATCTTTAAATTAATCTTTAACAATAATCTCTATTACCGTAGAATTTTTCCGGACATATCGGATATCACATGACCCGTAACTTTTTTTCGCCATTCTAGATTATTATTATTGTCAGCGAATGGCGAAAAAAAAGTTACGGGTCATGTGATATCTGGTATGTCCGGAAAAATTCTACGATAATAGAGATTATTGTTAAAGATTAATTTAAAGGTTAAAGTTAAGACTAGATTTGTGATCAAAGCTATACATAAAATTGTTCTTCCGATATTTTTTGTTAGTCTACCAAACTAGATTTAGGCATTTGTTTTCTGTATTTTTTATACAGTCAAACCTCTTTATAGTCATGTCTGTTTATAGTCACATCTCTCTATAGTCACCTTATTTTACTTTTCCATTTATATATAAACATAGTAAAAAAATCACTTTATAGTCATATTCCCTCTATAGTCATCAAATTTTGCTTTTCCAAGAATGGTGACTATAAAGAGGTTTGACTGTAGTCTTTCAGATTTAAATCATATATATAACTGAAATTTTAGTAACAATCCATCATCAAAATTCTTCTATAATCTCATTACTCAACTTGATATAATTATTTGATAAAGCAATGAATGCTGAATATTATGTTACAAAAGTTAACCAACAAAAAATCTTATGCTGGAATAACTATAGAAAAGAATTTGTAATTCAGTATAATAATTTTATAAAAAATAGTAATAACAAAATTGGTGAAAAGGAGATAAAGAATATAATTTATAATAAAATATTAGAATATTTTACTATTATCCATAAAAAAAGATTCAAGAAAATGAAATTATAACTTCTAGAAATTTCATATAAAACTTTATGTAAAAAAATTCAAGAGGTTATAAAATTTATAAATTATTTGAAAAAATATGTATAAATAAAATCAAATATCTTAAAATACATATTTCTTTTCAAGTCAGCATGAAATAATTCACCTATTTTTCTTAGTTTTAGTAATGATTAAAAATAATACAGCAACTATTGCAACGTAATAACAAATAAAATATCATTTAGTTGCAACTAGTTACAGCTTATAAAATTTTGGAGTTGCAACATGTTGCAATAGGTGATAAATAAGCATCATATACTTGCTGCACCATCTCTAGTAATGATCAAAAATTTTTCAGAATTTATTTTATATTTGATGACATATTGATAAATTTTATTTGAATTAGTTCCAGAAATTGGTGATTGAATTTTGTTTAATATACTTATCTAAATTTTCAGTGAATTCTATATAGTAATTATAACTTTCTTTTAATTAATATGAAAAAAATAATTAAGATAATAGTAATTATTTTTATTTAAATAGCTTCAATTACTTTATATACCTAAATATATATATATATTTTTGCATATTGAATATAAAACTTCTAAATTAATATATTTAAAAATATTTTAGTATTATGTATTCAATTTAGTATATGTTAAGAAAGAAAATTATTTCTGTATTATTTTAATAATCATATTTTTTTCTTCTAAAAATTTAGAATTTTGATAATACAGTTTCATAAAAAATAATTATTAGCATTTTCAATTTGTGAAAATTCAAAGATTTCAAACTTTATTCAAAAATTGAACCTGGTTTTATTTTTATATTTTTATATAACTTGGAATGAATTTTATCTATTAAAATATATAATATTTTGCTTTATAGAAATTTTATTAGACTTAATTTGCAAGTTTAATATATTCATGCTATTATTTTATAAGATTACAAATTAATTTAAATTTTTATATTAAATATCACTTACAAAATAAGAACACTTATATGCATAAAAAAATATTAAATAAATATATTATTTTAGTAGCTCTGCTTTTTATATTAATTTTTATTATATAATAATAATAAGAAAATGTGAACAGATAAAATTTATAGAATTATTTGATATGAATTGATATAACAGTATCAATTTCAGATGTTTTATATTTAATATAGTAAAATTCATCTTTATATTCATATTATATATCTTTTTTATTCTCATGACTTAACTTGCATATTGAATATAATAATTCAATATTAATTTTATAATAATTAATATTTTCACTATTATATTTTTTATAAATCAGAATATTATTTCAATATTTTGTTATGAAAATAAGTATGATTATGAGTTGAAATAAATTTAGATATAAGTAATTTACTTATTTGAGTTTTCAATAAAATCTTTTCAAATTGAAATATAGATAATATATTTACATTAACTTCTGATAAGATTTTGATTTTTATAAAAAAGTTAGAAATTTGAGATTTGATAAGTATTGTCACCATTTGATATTTTGGATCACATGTAAAATATCATGTGACATATTTTAATAATCATTTATATTTCCTTTTATATTTTTCTATTTATAATTTTATTTTTAATTAATTATTAATTATTTAATTTATCTAATTTACATATAATTTA